CCACCCCCCACCCCCCCCCGACTAATTTTAACCACTATGGTTAGTTAATAGGTGGTGGGTCTGTACTTGTCTCCTTCCTCTCCATCCTCTGTGAAGTTAATTCCTCCTTAAAAGCTCTATTCAGTTCACAGGTAATCCCTGATGCAAGCAGTCTGTTGCATAAAACAATATTGAGTAAGCAAACTTGCTCTCATTTTGCTTCTAATTCACTTGGGACTTGTGGCTTTGATACCCGGTGGTGTCCATTTGACACAGCAAGCAAAAAAGAACAATATGTGTAACTGCCAGAGTGTACTGATTTCTCTCTGGCTGTGCTTACTGCAGAAACGTTGCAAAGCTTGCTGTCTGCTCCCAGTGGATAAATCTTCCTGGTAGTAGGGTAGGTCATGACCTAACCCTTACAAAGCACAGTTTAGCTCTAGCCAGGGCTTCAGAATCCCTGATTGTAGAAAGGTGTCGGTGTTGTTGCAATGTTTGTTACACAGATTTTCCTGGCTGCACTGCGCGAGAGCATGTTGAAAGCTACGTTAACTGGCGGAGACTGTTGCCAGTCTGAGTGATGAAGGCTCAGGCAGGGCTGATGTGGCCTGTGAGTCCTGTCTTTGGGAGGGTCTTTGGCTTGTGGTCAGCATGCGTGACTTCAGAGCTGCTGCAAGATGAGTCAGCCCTGTGCGGAGGAGCTTCCTGTGTCCACCAGATCAGCTGTCAGGCCAGACGCTGGGCTTCCCCCACCTGCAGTGGGGTAGCCTGGACATATGTAGCTATCCGAATCTGTGCAAGTGATAACACAATTGCAAATGGTATCTAGCTGGTTATTTATTGAGTTAAAGCTCTCATAGTCCCACTGCCTCTTTTTCTCCTTTTCTCCCAGTCCACCCTGCGGTAATTTTTGTGTTCTTACTGGCCATATTCAGCTCAGGCTGGATTTAATTTGTGCAGCTCCAGTCTGAACTCTGTACAGTCTGAAGTTGGCAGTTCTGGGGTGATTCATTACCTCTGCAGATGGCATCTGACATGGAGGAAGTGCATGGTTGTACAATACAGCCTCTTCAGCAACTGTGAGAGGAGGCTGTGAACTAACTTGTTTGTGGATGTCCAGAGATGGATGAGATGGATCCCTTGTAAATTTGTTTCTAAAAGTTTTGGGTTTTTAAAACTTCAGAAAAGACATCCATTCAAAAGGCTGCTGTGTGAGCTCAGCCTTTTTAGGTTTTAGAAGAATGCATGTGGAAGAGAACAAGGTGGTACTGCATCTATAAGAAGCCTTGATCATAGTCTGTGTTTTGTTACAAGTGCAACCACAAGTCACACGTATAAGGAAACAAACCTTTGTTAGATCAGTAGCTCAGAGCAATCTTTATTTTGTTCTTGAACCCATTTAAGTAATTTAAAGATGTTTAAGATCTGTAGTGTGACACTTCTGAAAAAAAGTAAGGTCATGACTGTTGGATTGAGCCACTGGTCTTTAGAGCCATCCTAAGAGCTGTTAATGCTATTGCTGAAAGCAAAGCCCTGAATCCACCACAGGAGGTTTTTATTCTGAACTTGATAGTGATAAACAGCCTGGAGCCTGCAGGCTTCTGGGTTCAGTCCAGCTTATTGTGGGTTTTCGGGGGTGGTGGTGGTGTTCATTTTTAGGACAAATTGCTGAGCTTAATGTTTTTCTGCTTCTGTTATGGTTGTATCTTTTAAAACTTTAATGATAATGAGATCAGTACTCCTTGGAGGTATATTGCTCTGCTTTCTCACCATGTGGAATCTTTGTCTTGGATTTGTAATACTGGAAGTGGTCATTTGGAGGTTATGGTGGTGTCCTGAAAAGGAAATGGTGATATCACACTAAGATAATAAACAGAAAACCTGACCTTTTACTCGGCTGGTTTGAAAACTACATGCTTGGTTTCAGTCAAGATTTTAAGTTGACAAACTGAAGCCTCAGAATTTGATTTTAAACTCAGTTGTGCTTGAGCCACTTAATTTCCTATTTTGTTGTTTTGTAGAACTGTTAAAAACATATAGGTTTGCATTCAGTAAACATAAGTCTGGTATTAAAATTGTTTATTCTAGCTAATTGGAGGATATATCACCCACTTGTTCGTAGAAGTCATTGAAGTCTAATTTTGAAATATGCTTGTGTGTCATGCATTTTCTAA